TTTTATTATTGACTCGACGAGTGACGACATGTTGGTATAATATAATCATTGAACCATGTCATCATTACTATATTTATATGGTTGAATTTAATAGACGTGACATACATTGAACCTTCCCAACCTGAGTGTTATTTTATTTACAGTTCAGTGGAATTCTGATCAGCCTGAGGCATTGCCTGCAAATGCCGTCATGATGAATGCGCTCTACCAGTCGAACCTTGACTTTAAATCGGTTAGAAGGATCTCAAACAGAAATTAGTTTAATGGAGTATTATTTTGGCTAAATCCATCTGTTTGATTTAAACACACCCTATCATTTCGCAATTGTGGATCTGGATGCAGGCATTCGAATCGATTCTAGGGCTGCCAAGTGTCCGCAAGTGTCCCTGGAGATTTGTTTCAATGGCCATCCAAGGAACCTTGGATTGGGGCATGAGCTTGACCCTCCACGCACTCTTTCAGTACAGCTGAAGAAAACAATACAGGGAATGATTGCAGCATGCCTGCATTATTTCATTTATATACTGACCTACTAATTTAAATTTAATCTACTATAATTAATATATATATACAACAGACAGTTGTGATAATTAGTAGTAATTCTCCATTCATTTTCCCTGTCACTGTCATGCCTTTAATCAAAGCCCAAGCTGCACATCCAATGAAGCCAACCACAAAGCTGAGGTGAAAACCAAATCTTGGTTCGGGAGCATCGATTGCATGGCTGATTTGTGTGATAACTGGTCACTCATCTCGTTCCTGCTTGATCATGCTCTCGACCGCAGTGGAGAATCTTGAATTGAATGAATTAAATTATCTCAATCGTTTGACAAAAGTATAGATTGAGAGGATTGACTGGTCAATATTAATATTAGTCAATAATGTATTTTTTTGGCTGACTTTGATACTGTAACACTTTATCCCTAGTTGGATGCAATGCATCATTGTGGTTCCAGCAAAGACTCAGGCTGATGGCCCATGGTGGAGAAACTCTGAGGATGGTCCCAACCAAGATGACCCCAACACTGGCCCTGCAGATGATGATGACGAGGAGCAATCAGGTGCAAGCAATGCCTCCAATGATAGCGATGAAGAGCATGATCAGGATGTGCATGATGCATCCATGCGTCCTCAGAACAAGAAGGAGTTAGCATCCCTGAGAACCCGGTTCCAAAACACAATGCACTTGGTCGCTCACCTTTACCATGACTTGACACTTCGCGATGATATGAGGATGGTGTACTATGCTGCTTTTCATTTCAAAAAGGAGTACTCCTATATGCTTCAACAACAGAAGTCTCAGGACTGACTGACTGACTGACTGACGTGACTGTGACTGAATGACTGTGTAATTGCTGTTCATAGCATACATTGTGACATAATGTTGTGACAAATGACATGCAGTCAGTCACTGGCCCAACAGCAAATCAGTCACTTCTAACTAATGACTGTATGACATGCTGCTATTTAATATTTTGTGGAGCCCTTAGGAATCATGCCGTGCATGGCAAGCTATGCGTTCAACCAGGGCATGGCTGCAAACCATCTTGAAGGCTTTTGGAATGATGCATGATGCAGCTGTCCTTCAATCCTTTGGGATAACAACCGATTGCAGTGGCCCTCCAATTTGTGTTGAAGATTTGGACGAGTCTGGACAATCATGGGTCATGGCTGAGAAGAAGCTCCTCCATGACTTCTGGGTCCTCATTGTTGAGATCAGTGCAGCCAGGTGCTGGAGCCAGTCACTGTTCTCAGACTGCCCGCCAAACTGTTTCCCAGCAGTTTTGCATGGAAGCCCGCAAGTTGCCCAAAGTCATGTGGACTACCAGAAGAGGTTGTGGCGTGCAATCATTGCAGCTGAGTCGCACGTTCGTGATTCCAAGGTTGCCAAGCGATCCAGGCAGTCAGTGCAGGAGATTCTCAATGACCTCGCCTGGAGCAACTTGCAGTTGGCACGAGAACTGTGCTTGATTTGCAGCATTGGTGGTTGGAATGCAAATCATGAGATCATTCAGGAGGTGGCTCTAGCCATGACAGGGTGCCCACAAAACACCAAGTATGACTTGGAGGATGGGTTTGCTCATTTATCGAGTTTGAGCAAGCTTTCTAACCTGAGCACTGCCATGAACAAGTCACTGGAGCTTAGCTCAACAGACTTTGAACTTGATGTGACCCCTAGTCTAGTCCTACAGTTTTGGATTTTTCCTTTTTTTTGACCAGAGTGACTCGAACCTCTGTCAGTCACTCTTCAATCATTGAATTCAATCATCCCCTCACTTAACTTGACTCACCATCTCCCGGGTCCCGGACTTCAAATTTCAGTTCAAATCAAGGTGGACTCGATGGTTTTACACTACGACCTTGCCATCGCTTTTACAATTGCACTGGCCACAGTTGATGTGCACCTTTGAAGATGTTGTCGGTTACTACAAGACCGCTGTGAGGGCTGATGTGTCAAAAGCTGGAAAAACATTTGAGAGTGTCAGGGATCCTTTACCTGAGGAGATTCGCAAGTCACTCTTGAAGTTGCGGAGCAAACCCACCAAGAAAGCTGGGACCCAAAGCAACCAAAGGTCATGTGCTGCCACTGCCTGGATTTTGCAGAACCACGAGCGCAAGTTCAGCTCTGCTCACATGGCATGGACAGGCAAGGAAACATGGTATGTTCGTTCACAAGTCCTGCATTGCTGACAAACCAGGTGTAAAGGCATGTAAAGGCTGTAGCTTATTGAATGCAATGTTTCTTTTGGTGAGGTGTCTTCTTTATGAAAGGGCATTGCTATGAATCTTCAAGCAGGTCACTGACCATATTGAGCTTTGGTTTCCGCTCTTATGCATGTTTGGGCATCAAACTGGTGAAGAGGATCTGCGATGATGGGAAGGAACCTTGGTGTTGTTGTTTCAAAACAATGTTGTTTGAAGGTCCTCACTGGCAGGTGGGTCTAAATCTTGACAATCAAGGTCTATATTTAATTCAGCTCACCCATGCCATTTGTAATTTTAATGACGAGAGTCATGTTTTGCCCAAATATCCGAAGCAAACAGTTTAAGGCCTACTTCTGGGTGGATCCTGAGCAAAGTGAACCAATGTGGACTTTCAATACAGGCTTGGACTCTGACTGGGTGCATATTCCTTTTGAACCATTGCACCCGTGGGAGGTTCCCATTGCCTTGCAAGACTTCATCGTTGTTCTGCGTCAATGCGGAGACGAAGAACCACTTGTTGTTGCTGGCTTGAAATCAGGTGTTGCTTTGAATATGACGCATTTGCGCCTGCTTCATGCTCACTACAAGTTTGCCTTGCCTAGCAAGGGGAAAGGCAGTGGCAAAAATGGCAACGTTATCAAGATCGACTTTGTGAAGGCCCTACTGGAGTGTTTATTCCCTGACATGACGGAGGAGCAGAAGCAGGACCTGATAGATGGAATGATGGGCAAAAAAATGCGACATGTCCAGAGAGAAGCTGGCAAGCACAGCAAATCAATCGTAGCTGCCTTCAATGGTTTGGAGCAGCAAGATTTGAAGGAGTTTGCAAAGCTGACTGAGGTTGCATTGGATGAGTTGCAACTTGAGAATGCTCGGGATCGACAAAACAGGTCTTCTCCAGTGGCAACAGCTTCACAGCAGCATGAGACCCCGGCAGTCCTTGCTACACTGTGTCCACCAGTGAAGGGCACACTGATCTCAAGGCATCCCAAATTGATGCGGTATCAGGCATTTTATTTGTCAATGCCAACCAAGGAACGAAACAGTCACTTGACTTAGCTATTCAAAGCCTAAAGCAACTTTTCATACTTTTTGACTCCAGTTTGGCAGGGGGGTTAAATAAATCATTTGCTAATGGTGACCTGGTGATCTGTGATTATTTTTTCTTAGTCACTAGTAACAATGTAACAAGTCAGTCACTGACAGGCCGACGCTACTCACATGCTACCTATTGGAATGGAAAACGAAAGCGCATGTCAGAGCTAGACGCACTGGTGGAAGTGGTTGACTGGCTTTGGGATGTGTATGAGAAGCTTGATGCAGATCCTGCTGAGAAGATTTTTCGGTAACTTGAAATAACTGGTGTATATGTTTTCGTCTTGTCATTTTTTTGCCCTAAATTGAACAGACTGACTGTGTTTGACTCAGACTAGTACAATGATTTTGAAGTTCTCAAACAGCTGAGGCCAAGTGAGGAATGCATCAAAAAGATTGTGGATTGCTTTGATGCCACGACTGGATTTTTGAAGGAGCCAAAGGTTGCAGCTGCAGCAAGTGCATCAAAGATGCCATCAGTGGCTGCACCAAAGGCAGCAGCAGCAAGTGCATCAAAGATGCCATCAGTGGCTGCACCTTCAAAGGTTGGAGCAGCAGCAGCAAGCGCACCATCAAATTCAAAGGTTGCAGCATCAAGCGCAGCAACAATGCATGAGGGAGAGATTCCCAGCAAAGCAACGAAGGTCAAGAAAGTGACCATCAAGGAAAAGAAATCAGGCAAAGGTAAGTGACCAACGTTGCCAAAGGCAAACCGAGTCCCTTTTGTCTGCTGTGTGAATGTTTCTTTTCAACCTACAGTGGGTTGAACGAACAACTCTGACTAGCAAAACGCTGGAAAAACAGACTTGGCTGAGCTTCAGGGGATCTTTCAAAGGGCTTTGGACAAGAGTTTTCAAGAGTGAGGGCCTCCCACTTGAGGGGTCCCCACAAGCTTCCCCTGATATCACCTTGGACCTAGGATATGTTCACTGGGCTGATTTCTCGCGATGTTGACCTCTCTCTTAACTCGGGTGCAGCTTCGGTTCCGCCCCCGAGTTCTCACCATCAAATATAGAGGTGTTCCAGCACCCAAAGCAATTAATACCTACTGCACCTGGATCTTGAAAGGGGTGCTCAATGGAGATCCAGCAGTGTAGGGTGCTCAGGTCGGGTGTATATCTGGATAAATCCGAGATAGATGTCAGGTGCTGAACAGCCAGTGTGTTTCTTGGCCATAACACTCATCTCTCTCCTTTTAGGCAACTACTTTGCCTTCTGGCCGGACGGCGGCTGCTTGATCACCGGCACCGACTCGCAGCGGGTCATGGCCGAGAGCTACGAGGTGATCTCAGGTCCAGACGGCGGGTCGGCGGCGAGAGCGGGGCAGGGAAGGGTTGGTTTTGGGCGAAAAAGGGAGAGGAACATATATCAAGTTGAAGAGAACCGTACAACATCAAGAATCACATATGTCAATGTCACACATATATATATATAATACAATGTGTATAAATGTATAATATATTATTAGATATGATCAATCTAAGAGGATGATCGTGCAAATAACACTAGAACCACCTAGAATCTAGAGCCTAAGTGACAAGCTGTTTTGAATCTAAAAAGGCAAGGTTCCCAGCTTCGAATTGAAGCCGACCAGAGCGGAGATGCCGACCTTCGTGTTCCTTTTGGGGTGAGCCTCAACCAAGCTCCTTTAATGAGATCATGGGGTAAAGCAAGAATGCCGTGCCATGGTAAAGAAAAACAGAAACTGCCAGAAGTGGTGAGGATTGTTTTCCTAGTTGTTTTCCTCCATTGACGATGCTTGCGATAGCACCTTTTAGGACTGTCGCATTTAGTGGCATGGGATGTACATAAATGGGAATTTGTATCTCCATGTAATTACAGAGTGAGCGAGATGATGATTTTCCTACAGATATGCTTTGAGGTGGTCACAGATGTTAGCGGAGAGTACTTATTTTCATATGGTTCCCAACCGCCCACCAAAGAGGGCGCGCAGAGACTCCCATTCAGGACCTATCCATTGCAACGCCTCTTATCGAACTGCTGCGCCTTCCGTGGAAGCCTGGGCAAGCCAAACGACCCTGCCGAACATCGGAGACTTGCCGAACGAGAGGTCAAGTGGCCTTATAGGACGTGTCACCTGGGGTACCTATGGGATATAGTCTATACATGGGGTTTTTCAACCTCTGTTGGTGGTATGAAGGTGTGAGCCAACCACCCATCAGTGTTAAAAGGCTTTGGGGACTGCGTGCTTAATATGCGATGGAACTTTTAATGAAGTTTGCACCATTTGTGACATTGCTTTGGGGTATTGGTGCCTCAACAGGAAGTGGTGTAACAGAATGGGAATGTTCAATCTTGACTTCTTCCGGGGATTGGTTTTGGTTTCCCTACTACCCTGTATCCCACGGTTATGGCAATGGATGGCATTACCAAACAGGAAGACTTTCTTCCCAAAAATTCCCAGGCCGGTGTTTGTCCATGGTTGGATGGAGGGTAGACGTGAGTCGGTGTGAAAAGACATGCTTCGACTTCTGAAGGTTTGAAGCAGTCAATTGCGTGCATACTGTATGATGGAACAATGGAACACCACCACAGGGTGATGCAGGAACCGCTCATTTGTCCAGGTGATGCAGGAAGGAGGTTTGGTTCCAACAAGAAACCGTTCGCTTGTGGCGGCGTCCTGGAACCTTTCTTCAACATTTGCTTTCAGAAAACCGTGTTTTTCTCCAACATTCCCGCCGGTCCCGCTAGAAACACCCAAACAAACGGTTTAAATGAAGCTGACCAGGACCCCCTTGTAGAGCAAAATTGGTCTTCCATGGGCCTACGCTCCACTTCCATGATTGATTCAGGGAGTGTAAATGTCTTCCAACAAACACACTCCAACACGCTTAATAAGACACATTGGTCTTCTACGTTTCCCTACCCCAAACACACACAACACAGACGAGAACAGATCTCTCTCGAAAGAAGCCAAAAGCAGACTCCCTAAAGCCGACGTGTTTTCCGGCGGCGCTCCGTCCAAGGCCACAGCGAAGTGGCTTCGGTGACCGCCGCGCCAGAGACGATGGCGCACATGGCAGAGATCGAGATCCCCATCTTCGGCTTGGACGTGGGACAACTCGCCGCCAATGCCGCTGGGGTGTTGGAGAGCTGGGGTTTTGCTGAGGGAACGAAGGAACCATGGAGGACCCCAACCATTTAGATATTTGGAGCGAAACAACAAGCACAAAGTGAACCCCTGAAAAGGAACAAAGGAATAGAAAACAACACAACTGACTCCCGGCCCTAGACTCGTTCAATTATGTATTTTGCCGTTTCGTTGATTCTTATCTTGTCATTACTTGTTTTTATGTTTGCTCTGTTGTGTTCTTCTTCCTCCTAATTTTTTGGATTAACCTTCAATGATTCCACATGTGTTCACAAGTACGATTTTCCATGGGTTTTGCAGGCTTGAGGCCAAGTGTCGCACACCACTTCGCAAGGATTGCAATCTTAGTGCTTTTTGGCCTAGGCTTAGGTACAGTATGTTGTCTATAGTAAAGACCTCATGTGGCTGCATGTGATTAAGAGATTTGCATGAAGCATCTTTGGGGAGCCCCGCGAAAACGCACCGTGGGCTTCCGATTCTGATAGAGCTGATTAGAGCTGCAGAGTATAGATAACACAGATCCCAAGTCAAGACATGTCCATACTATATGGATATTGCACTCTACAAAAAATAACGGAGTAACGATCCATTCAGTAGGCTGCGCTGAAAAAAACAGAACTCTGCACCCGTCTGCACCGGCGACGGCGAGACCGATTCCGGAGCCGATGCCGCTGCGCACCGTTCGATGCCTAAGGACCAGCACCTCTTGGAGGGGCGGTCGCTGGGCGACAGGTGAGAGGTAGACGACAGGAGAACCCGTTTTCATGAAAGCGCAGATCATAAAAACGGCTGTTATGAGCAAGAACATGTAGGAACAGATGTAGGTAGGTGACCGGTACATGAGATTTCTGAGCATTTCTGGTTGAATTGTGGTGAAGGGAGTCTCATGTCTCACTGTTTAAGGATGTCTGAAAAGGAGTGTTGGGTTTGATGGATGTTCTTTTGGACTATGAGTGACCAGGACTAGGAGTCAAACTTCGAGCGTCTCCCACTTCTGACAGCCTTAAGACTAAGTTGAGAACCATCCAGATTAGAATTGTGTGTGTGAGGGGTGTCCGTGTTCCTTCGAGACATCCCAAAACATACCAAAACAGAGTCCAAACAGGCAGTCCGAACAGCCCACATTGGCACTGGCTCAATGATGTTTTCATGTCTTTTTCTTCCAACCTGACCTTCGTCCGACGGACCTGACACCCTCCTGATGGACCTTCGTTGTTCTTCCTACAGAAGGGCGGCCTTGCACCTCACCTGGTGCACCGTGCGGCCCCCTCCCCCGAGGTATGCGGAGGCCATCGCGAAGACGCTCGCGCTGCCGGTGTCGGAGATCAAGGAAGGTCACTGGGGCCATCCCAATGGGCGTGGGTCAAAACCAGGTGTGGGACTGGGTGGACCCCGGGCTTGACCTTAGGTTGACCCCTGAAGATGTGCTGATTCCTCTAAGAAATGAGACATGTTCCAACTTCCATGGTTTCGGACCCCGCTTTTTGTATTCGCTTTCTGCGATCCATCGCCTCGACCGATGCTGTGACGTCACGGCCTGGGACTTCGTCCGCGGGACTCGTCGGGCGAGTCCGGGCGACGCGTCGAGGTCCAGATCAAAACGACTTGGACGCACAGGCTGGTCTGTGGGGTGGGCTAAGTCTGTCGCAGTCGTGGGAAGATGGTGATGGTGAAGCAAGCAGGGCAGGGTCGAAGATGAGAAACTGTGCACTCAGACTGTTGGGTGAACATTCCTTCTGGCAATAAGTGATCTTTAGTGACCTCATTCGGTGACCTAAGCGACCTCATTCGATCTCAAAAGGTGCATGGGACATCCAAGTCCTAGAACCCGAAGCTCATTCAGTGCGAGACTTTCCAACCTAGAGCATTTAGTCCGGATGCCTCTCGCCTTCTTCGGTATGGATCCAGCCCTTGGGCGTATCTAGATGTTTATATTTATAAGCATGATATAAGGGAATATTTGATGGATTACAAAATTATATACTATGTGCCCTTGTATGTATAGATATCGATCTACGTATACGGACCTTCAAAGTATTTCAAAGCGACCTCGTTGGCGTCGATAAATTACCTGTTACAGGCCTGAGTGACGAAAAAATCGTGGAATCATGGGATCTCAAGTTCGGTCACTTTGAAGGTCCTGATTCGATGAAGTTCTTTACTCGCCATTGTTCCGCCAAAGAGACCAGAACGATGACCTTCTGATACCTCTTGGGGTCTCATGAAGAATCAGGACATGGGACATGACCGGAGAATGAGGACATTGACTTGACGCCCCAGATGGAGGTTCGAGGCTTTGGACGGATTTATAAAGCACCCTAAGAATCCGGGCCCGAACCAACAGACAGGGTTTGGGAACCGGCCCGTTTTCCCCCTGCGTGAAACCGTGGAGAAGGTCCGACCCCCATGGAGAGCCCGTTCGGATTCTTAAGGCCTGGGGCGGTCGTGACCCATCTGGAGCGAACTGAACCAGTCTACCGGTGAGAACACGACGAACGAACGCATGAAAACACACGGCTCGGGGCGGGACTCATGCCCGGTCGGTCACCTGGTGCCATGAGGATTCGCACAGCCAGTCACAGCCACTAGGGGTGTCGTTCGTCCCATCCAGTGAGTGGATGGGCACCCCTCACCGACTGTAACCTCCATGAAGATCATTAAGCACCCCCACCTGTGACTGCTGGCACCCACAATTCATCATAATTCTATGATCTACTAGAATTGGTGTTTGGGTGAGGCGCTCCGCCTAGACTGCAGGTGCACTTGAGCCCTGGGGTGGGAGGAGGTTGTATCCTCACCGTTGGGCGGACTCAGCTGCTGTCTTTGGCCTCGGGAGTTCTTCTGAGGATTTGGCTCAGGCATGATGGTCATGGCATGATGGTCATGATGTCAAAGCAATATTGGACAAACCCATACAAACCCTCCCTCCTCCAGAACACTGGATTCATACCTGGACCCTCCTTGAAATTCAATTCGACCTTCCCTGTACACTGTGGTACCCGTTCCGAAGCTTCCAACACTCGGGATGGTTGCCAACAGTTAACGGGTATTGATTTTGTCGAAACACTGACACTTAAGTGTTTTGACCCTTTCCGAAATGATCTCTGAAGCCTTGTTTGCCGCGCAGAATATATTGCAGATGATGACCTTTACATGAGCCTTTTGCTATGAACCGAACCACAAGAGACACTTTTGCACCGGAACGCAACCCTCCCCAGACTGATCACTCGATGGATGGACGTGTCCAAATTCTGGGCATCGCACCTGAGAACCTTCTTCAAACCAGCCCAAAAAAGCTCCACACTCAATGCGACATGGCATGTTTGGCAATTTTCTCAGGGTGGTGGACCTGGCAAGCTCCACAGGGTGGCATATTTCTGAGTCCGGGCTACTCAGCTCCCCGCTCCGCACCGGTTTTCGGGCTCCCAAAGCCCGAGGCCTGGACGCCCAACGAGCCTGTGAGCAGTCGGGCGCCCACAGTCGCCAGAAGTCACGCCAAACGAATGCAGAACCAATGATTTTTTTGGATGTTTTTGTTGTCAAGACACATGTGGATATTCTTTTTGTGATCAACTGGTTTGGAGTGAAACCTTCCACGCTGGTCTCTTATGGTCTCTTGATATTTTCTGGGGCGATTTGGATTGGACTTTTTTTGCATTTCTTGCTTTCATTCTTGTCTCATGACCTTGCAGAAAGAATGAGTCGCAGGAAGCGCTAATCAGCTTGATGTGGTGACATCCTCTTCAAAACGTCCCGGAAAAGACCTTTGCTCACCATGCGCAGTTGGCTCGACCTCTTCTGCTTTGGGGGCATGTCGACGGCCCGCCGCGCGGTGCTTCTCCGGGTCGGTCTCCTCGTGGCACTCGTGGGCGCCTTTCTTGGTGCAGCACCCAGCTTCGCTTTTCGCGGCACTTTGGTGGCGGTGGCGCCCAAGATGAACACGATGCTGAACCAGGTGGGCGTGGGTGTTGTTGATCTAACTGTGTTTGGCTGTTGTATACGTATTATACTGTATAAATACCCATAGATCCGCATTGTGATAGTAGATGACTTCTGCGATTCTTTTTGCCGTATGCAGCGCTTGTTTTGCCTGCAGTTTTTTGCGAATGGTTCACTCCCCAGTCTTCCAGACACGCTGCAGCGCACCCGCCCAGCTTTGGCGCAGCTGGGCCCGGACCCCTGCGAAGGTGTCGGGTCCGACCCCTGCCATGCAGGATACAAGGATTCTTGGTCTAGAACATGACAATGAGAGACCTCAGGTTCCTGGCGTTAAGTCAAGTCCGGCACACAGGCAATCCCTCTTCACGACAGTGGATCCACCTGAGATCCTTTGTCGATCACAAGGCATGAATCTTTGACCCAACGGTTGCGCCCCTGAGGCAACCCCAACGTTTCCGAACAGGGCGACCCCTCGGTCGAACCGTTTCCCTTGTAGTCTCGCCTTCCAAATCATGCGTTGGCAAGCGTTGCGACCAAAGTCACAGCCTGCGAGTCCTGTCGCAGGCCGTGCCAGTCGGAGGGGTTGATCCATCCCCACACTGAGTAGCTCAAAGATCTACCTGTCATTGGTTTTGGGGCTAGTAACAAGGGCATGGCTACTAGGAGCAATGGGCATCGCTACTACGAACGGAGCATCTCAAGCGGATCACTTCTTGCAGCACTGGGTCTCCGTCCTTCGGTTCGCCCTACAGGACACGGCCAGCGTCTATTCCAACGAGAAGATCTTCTTTACCCCGCGGCGCGCGAAGGTGCCACGTGACTTTGGAGGGAAGCATCCAGAGGCCATCTTCACGGCACTGGTGGCAGGAATCGCCACCTACTTGATGCCTACTGGAGATGAGTCGAGGGAGATGAGAAGTTGGGTGAATGAGGTAGAAAGAACGGGAAGGGATGGGATGGTAAAAGGTTTGGGAAGGCATTCTCATTTATTCCTCATGGTTTCGCAGGAGTAGCAGTTCTTGTTCTTGAAGGATACTTCCAAGCATGGCAAGTTAGAACCACTGGAAATGCCGAATGGAATGGACGCGCGACCTTTCAATGGTCAACCCCAAAAATATGTGTCGATGGCGAAAGGGTACAAAGTACTATACCCCAAACCTTTCCCGAACCCAATGATTAGCTTCTCACATTCCAACAGCACACCCTCACTGTTTTCAGCCAGTGTTCGATAATCCCTCTAAAGACACTGTCCTTGCTCGAAAGGGGAGGCGAAAAGTAAGAGAGCACACTCAGAAGTCCAGCGTGCCAAACTCTTTTGTACTTGCCCAACCCAGTCTGGGACGCCAAACCCCACACACAGAGCTCCCCAGCGAGGTCCACATTGCAGGGCCTTTTGCAACGACAACTTTGGGTGCCGCCCTTCGGTGCAGTCACGCTGATCTTTGCCGCTGACGCCGTGGCGGCCGCGAAGGCCGCAGCTGAGTTGTTTTTCTTTTCACGGGCGTGGTCTTGTAGGGTCCCGTAGATGCTCGAAGGGGCTCAATTTTTGTAGCTTACCCGCTTTAAGAATCCAGGCCCAAACCAATACATGTAGGGTTCGGGTGCGGACCCGACCTCTATGAGGGAGAAGGTCCGACCCCTGCCATGGAGGGCCCTTGCACGGAATCTTAGGGTGGTCCAGATTCCAGGCCAAAGCAGGTACCTAACGTCACTTCCGACCCCCCATATAGCAAATGGACTTTCTATTCAGATGTTTGCCATGCAAGTTGTTGCTTGTTTGAGGACGGGTTGGATTTGGCCTGACTTTGGTGGCCTGCACTGATGAAGTTCGTTGTGAGCATGGCGTTCTGACTGTCCATGTTGAGAGTCTAAGTTTATAGTTTGCCTACTGTTCAGAGGATTTATCATTCAGTCTGTGAGTCAAACCCCGCTGCGCAGGAAGGAAAGACCATGTGCTTCAAGACCATGTGGCAGAAGGCATGGCAGGCATGCATCGGTGTAGCAGGTGCATGCTTTTTGACCGTGCTTCTAGCACGCCTCCTGGGCCACTTGGCGTTGCACGTCAGTGTCGTTCCAGGTCGCATTTTTGTCCGTTGTGGTCTACGATGGGATTTGAGGTTGGACAGGTTGGTGATTTGATGTGATTTGAGGGGAACGGGTGCCCATGATCCACTCATATGGGTCTTACAAGCACTTCTGTGTTTGGAATTCCTGGGTTCCATGTGCTCCCATTGCATGGATGCTATCCCTTCAATCCCCAAATTCGGCAAGACCTGATCGGTAGCAGAACAGCTCAAGTGAAGTATTTATATTATATAAATGCAGTACATGTAGTACATGTAGTAGTTCCAGGTACTTAACAGACATAGAGGCCCACGCACACCCTAAATCAGATTGGTGTTTTTCAGGCAACACTCCCTCCGTCTTGCGTGCGGTGGCCATGTTCGTGGCCGCCTTGTCGATGTTGGCGAACCCGCAGAGCGGCTACTTCCCCCCCCGCCGGCGCCCTGTGTGCCTTGTATGTGGAGAAGAGCGTGAGCATGGGCAAGGCAATGTTGCCTCAGCAACCTGGCGAATGTTGGAGTGACCTAATCTAGCTGGGGGAGGGGAGACATGACGAAACCAGGGCGTCCAGGGCGTCCGGGTTCCATCCTCATGCGTCATCCTTATGAGTTTGGTGTCGGGGTGCTGCCCACAGCTAAACAGTGTCCGGGTGGTCAAGGGTTGATGGCCACCACATTCTAATTAACCATGTTGAGTACATGTTTATGCCATGGTCCGAGCACTTTCGGTGCTTGTTCCATGGTGATTGGCTGGCCAAGCTGGCTGACACAATTTGCCCCCATATGCTCCAATTATTGATATATCAAAATAGACAGCGGAAGACTCCAACATCCTTGGTCAGTTGACAGATGTCTATCCGAGTCTTTAACATCCTGGACAAAACGAGTCTATGTTGATCAGGTACTCATATGCCCTCTTCCCTTGTGCAACTGGTGTGGCTTTGTTGCTGATCTTCTGCCGCACCATCACCTACATGGCCCATCCAGTGTGGCCTTTCTCTTCCAAACAACAACGCGAGAAGGAGCTATTACCACTGCCCTGAGAGCAGAGCCGTGTCACCTTTAAGGGCGCAGGTGTGCCAACGTACACTAGTGCCTTGAGTGTTGTAAGTTATATGCTGACCAGCTGCCCTGTCACAATCCTCAAAACTCAGGAGGGCACCATACTTCTGGCGCTTCTAGTTGGTAAGCATAGCATAGCATGGCTGCATTGACTTGCCGCGATCTCACGAGCTCCACAAGAAACTCTTGCGCCTAGCAATAAGAAGACTTGAAGACTCTCCAACCATCAAAAGTCTCGAAAGATCGTTTGAACAGAAAGATGGAGGATTCTGTCAGGCACCTAGACTCAGCAACTCTTTATGTCACGAAGATCTTGGTCGGCGCTGGCCCGTGACACCGTACACTGCGACCGTGGGGGTTTCCACCGTTTCAGCTCTAGCTTTTGAGCGGCAGCTTGAGATGGTCCGGAACTCTCAGCACCAAGCCAGCCAGGGACGTGTCGCGCGGAAACCGCGCGGCTTGCTGCGATCAGAGCCTAAAATAGTTTTGCTGGAACATGAGTGGGGTGATTATACTCCAACTCGGAGAGTGTGATGACATGACATGGCCCCTCCAAAAAAATAGCACAGCAATAACATCGAATCACAGCAATGATTCCACACATTTTCCAGACCGATGTTAATACGGAAAAATATTGAAGAATCAACGCTGTTGATCTTCCACTTCCAGATCTTCTTCCAACCCTCTTCTGGGCGGTGGTTTCAGAGATGTTACGTTTCACATGATGTTTCACATGATGTTTCATCCACTGACTCATACGAGTTGAACTCACCTGCCCGGCCGGGCACCGAGGTTCAGACCCCTCGGTGCTGAGGAGCAAGCTGAAGGCGCTCCCAACGGCAGAACCTTCTCGGAACGGCGAAAGGAAGCCATACGAAGAGGGCAGAGGGCGCAGAGGGCAGAGGGGTTGCTATAAGAATTGGTGGTGTTTTCTTTGTTTTGTGCATATGTTGTAATGAATTTGTGTCGTTTTTTGTGTTCGTTTGTGTTTTAAGACGCAACCATTTTTTGCGATAATCTTGTTCTAAGACACGACCATGACACAACCATTTTTCTTTCGTTTTATTCTGAGACGTTTGCCCAACACATTTAGCCTATGTATATAGTACCAAAAACATTCCAAACACATCCAAACACTTGTACGTAGCATGTGAACAGGCTGACCTAGAGCTTCACACACTTCCTCCCCCCAAAATAATTAAGCACATAAAACCACAATAGAACCACCAGACACCGTCATCGCCTTACCGTCATCGCTTTCGTCATCGCGACCAGACGCCTGCATTGATCACCAACCTGAAGTTGGCGACCACGCAAGCGCAACTGCCGGTGTCAGCTCTACCAGGCCCTGTCGCGATCCAGTCGACGGACGTGTCGGACGTGTCGGATTCGGGATCGAGCTGTTTTCGATCGCGTACAATGCAAATCAAAGATGCAAACGATTTGCTCAGTCTGAGTCAGGTGAAGTGATTTCCGTGATTTAGCTGTTTGTTTTTGAGCTTTTTGATGCTTTTTGTGTCTTCTGGCGAATGATTTTCTGGCTTTCCAGTGGGCTGTATCATGGGTTCGGCCTGTATCCATGCCCCACTTCCGCCCGGGGCCTCCGGTGTGGGCAGGCGCACAAATCCAGGTGGGCGAGCCTCAGGTCGGCACCAAGGAGACGGACAATCAGACGAAGACGGCACCGGGGATGGTCTTTTCCGAGGATTTGATCCATCCAATGGTACTACCGTTCTACATCGTTCTACAGTACCCATCCGTTTGTTGTTCTGAGTTTGGTCAAAATTTCAGACGTTTTGTGGTTTTGATGGAAATAAGACCATGTTCTTTAGCCACTCATGACATGTCCAGGTGAATTTATGACCTAGACTCGGCCACTAGTAAGACCACTAGTAAGGACCTAGTCCGAGAACTCACTACACTACTGTATAGTCCGTTCAGAGCCGTCATGGAGGTGAACGTTGGACGAGGGACATCCTTGTAGAAAAGAAAGGACATCCCTGGGCATCAGGAGTCATGGCTCATGGCTCTGTTAACTGCAACTCTGTGAGAGGGATTGGTTTGAAAACATCTCGCGATTCAGTGACTAGCACTGAATCCAAGCATAAAAGATCATAAAGATCGGTCTACCTACAGGTGTTCAATCTACCTACAGCAGTTCCGGCATGTCGGCAGAGCATCCTGCATGCTCCTGGGCAAACCGCCCCAGGAGCATCCTTTGCAAGCCTTAGTGGAACCGCCCAGCTTTTGGTCTCAGTGGTGGCCGCTTTTGATTGCTCTGACCTTCGTCCCTGGGTTTTTCAGGGCGGCACCGGCGGACCGGGACCGGGGCTGTGGGGTACCAGGAGAAGTTTCTTTTTGAATGTTTCATGGCCGGCCGTTTGGGAATGTTCAATCCCAAGATTTACAGCACTAAACTGTACCAATTATAATAGAAATATAATCAATTATACCTGTAATCACTTGGATCTTCCAACTCTGCAACATGCCTGCCTTTTGGCTGGTTTTATCGATGAACAGGCAGACATGTTGCATTAGTTGGAAGATCTAGGTTTATACCAACTGATTCTTTCGAGTCTGGACTAGGGGGATCATTTTCAGCTAGAGGACACCCCTGATCGCACAACGAACAGATGCAGCAAAATGATGCAGTTCTGCAGATGCGTTTCAACTGACCGTGGTTTTGAGGTTGGGACATGTTCCCCTTGGTTGAAACCACCAAGGAGGGAAGACACGTCTCTTTTCATCGTCTTTCGACCCGTGGGACGCGCGCGCGCTTGATGAGAGTGGAGAAGAGGAGTCCGTGAGCACGGGAGATTGAGTTTTCTGGTGGCTTCTTTCTGGTTTTCCAAAAAGACAAGGACACCACCTGGAAGCTACTAGTAACAAGCGCATCGCTACTAGGAACAAGGGCATTACTACTAGTAGCAAGACTGCTACTAGTAGCAAAGGGCATGAGTAGTAGCAAAGGTTAGTAGTAGGAACAAGAAGCTACTAGTAACAAGGGCATCGCGACTCGAACGGAGCGATCGGACACGACGAACGGGAGGGGACGAACGGCATTTGCTGATCCGAAGAATGTGGAAGTCATCAGTTTCAGGCTTACCCCGAAGTGCTAAGGCGCAAACCAAGCACCTTGAAATGCGAGCGACATACGTGCGTCACCTTGAAGCAATGTCCAGTGGACCACCCCCCCTTTTCATCGCGCGCCATGGACGCCATGAGCGGAGACCAAGCCTGGGGGCCGCTGGGAGCCCCTTCTGTTTCTTCCCCATTCAGGAACTCGCAGAGGGGGGGCCGCTTCGCCTTTCTCATTCACCTCCCAGGCTGTGTGCATTGGAGGCAAGCGATACTCTGCTTTTCCCCTTCGGGGCGCACATTTGGGGGTCTGGAAAAGCAGTGTGGTTTAGAAGGACGGACGTTTCATACAAAATCACACCTCTGGGTTTGTGAGTGAAAGTTAAAATTCACATCACGGGGTGTGTGAAGAGCTAAAATTCCAATCACTGGGTCTCAAGCAGTTTCCTTCAAGTCTTTTTGCTGATTGTTGGGCAGTGTGCCAGCGGATTGGATACCATCGGTTCAGACTCTGGTTGTTGGAAGATCATGTTTGGAACGGTCATGGGTGCGCACCATGTGTATTGACCAGTGGTTTGATGTGGTTGTTGGGTCTGGATTGAGAACAGTTGTCGTTGGCATCGATCATGTTGGTCAGCGTCACATGGGGATATCGAATAAGACAACCGTGTTTTACCAACTCGTGTGAAGTGACAGTTGTTGGGGCCCCGTCACTGACCCTGTCTAGGGGTGACTCGCCCCGAGTATCAATTGAATCAAGGGTGGAGCAGTGTGGAAGATGAATGATTGGAACGAATGGCTCACTTCGGGACTGTGACATGGATCAAAAGTAGAGTATTCTGTTCATGTACAAGGTTTTCACAACTGGACGTGTTTAAAAATGACTCAAACTGATGACCCTGTCAGGTTTCCTCTTTGTCCACTACTTCGCGAACCAATTGTCCGATGATGATGAGAAGCGTGGCAAGCGCTCAAGTGGCCCAGCAAGCGGTTATTAGGTCAAGGTAGAGAAGCGGACGAGTTTTTCATGTGCGGCCTTTGTTCTTTTCGTTCGTGATCAACAAGACAAAGTTATAAACCCTTGACTGCCCGACCCTTCATTGTGCCGAAGGCGGCAAGAGCCTGAATTCTTGGACACGGACTTATATAACTTCTTGGACACAGACTTAACTGTCCAACATGTTTGGTTTAAGTCAAAACATTCATTGTCATGTAGTGCTAGTGGGTAGACATAAAGCAACATGTAGCAAGAACCTAAGTAGAAGGAGGTGACTCTCTCAGACTCTCTCACAACTTCGTACCAAATCAGCGATTTAGACGGCGTCCGGTTTGCCATCTCAGGTTCCAGCTCATTGCCAAATCGATCCATTCGCCTGGGGCCTCGGACAGAAAGCGAACCGTGCGTCGATGACCGTTTCGTCTCGACGTCTTTCGTCTCCTGTGGACATCTTCATCCATCGCTTTCGTGCCATGACATCGATGAGCTTCCATGATCCATTGATGTCATGGCAATCGTGATGGATGAAGTAACACTGGCGTTGGTCGCGCGGGGTAGCAAGCTTCTACGGCGAAGGGGACCACCCTTTGATCCCTCGTACTATCATCTAGATTACACTTGATTTAAAGGACGTGCTTCGTCATGACGGGGTTGATTCTGTGTTCAATCTGCTCACCCATGTCATCACCCAGATTTCGTCGCTCCCCGGTGGTTTCGTTTTCACCTGGACGAACACTCGGCGCCACCGGGGGCAGCCTTCGCTCCACCGCGGAGCGCGCTCGGCCGAGCGGAGAGGAGAGCGGAGGGAGCGGTCACCCAGGCCTCCGTGCACAAGGGCGTGGTGTCGAGGACGTGGAGCTGCCACTCAAAGAGGGCTTTGAGAAGCCTGGAGAAAGTGAAAGAAGATGGGGAGAGAAAGAAGGGATATCACTAGTATTCACTAGTGATATATCACTAAAATGATTAATATCTGGGCTGTTCATAACCAATCCTAATCCCCTTCCTTCTTACGGATTAGGTATGTACAGATTGGATGGTTTGAGCGCATTGCGGATTAGGTCCAGGTTGTTTTGTAAACCACCTGCCAGCCACCGCAGCAGCAAGAGCTAGCTGCAAACGAAGAGCGAACTGGGCAGGTGGGCGTTGTCAGGTCTCACAAATGCCGTCTAGAGTAAAGCCCCCCAGACGTTTTCTTGACAAAAGCTCCGCCTTAAGGAGTTACTCCGAGGACCATTTGACCCAAAACCTGCAGGAGCAAAGTAACTCCCCCCAAGACCTTATCTTCCCAAAAGCTCAACCTTGGCAAGTTACTTTGAGGACCATGTGGCCAAAGACCTGTATCTCTAGGACTTTGAGGAACATGTGGCCAAGGACCTGTAACTCTAGGAGTGAAGTGTTTCGCAGAAACATTTATTTGTGCCCCGCGCAGGCCCATGCCTGGGCACCTGTTTGTTGGTGTCGCAGACACTGCCGGGGTTCTTTTGGTGTACTGTAATTACATGTGTGCCAGGCACAACAAGCAAGTTTTGACCGGCGGCTTGAGTCTGACTGGACCAGGGAGGTTTTCTTGTGGTTGTCAACCGCAATAAAGCTGAAGCGTTGCGCCCCACACAGGCCTTCACACTTCGAACTTGGGTTGTCAGTTAACGCAATTGCCACGTTGGGAAGGAAGGCGATAGAACAGCATGGCGCAAAGTCCGACAACTTGGAAGTGTTTGAACATCGATTGTTTCACTTGACGTCGGTCAGCGGCCGGCTGCAGCTCACGAACAGTGGGAAACCTGTTTGTGGGAGGGTATCATGAAGAAGAACCATGGAAACAAAGAAACAGCAGCAGGGCGGACCATTGGTGTCATTGCGTTCAAAGCAGGTACACACCGAGACGTCTCTCGGTGCTTCCCCTCCAGCGACGTAGCTTCGTTGGGCAAGGTTTGTCGCCGGAGGCCTTGCCCCCCTGCTCATGTAGGGTAGAAAGAGTGGTGGTGGAAAACCCTTTGTCCAGGGTTGGACACACACAGGTCGCCGCATTCGGCGCTTTTTTCAAAAACCGGTGGCAGGCGTGGTATTTATGCCCCTTTTGGACATATAGGTTCACGAGTTCGGCCGCAGCAGCGTCAGCGCTGGAGGGTGGAAATGTGTATTTTCGAATGGTGTGAAGTCGTGATTGGAGGCCTGATAGAGCCAAGCGCTGGCTCCCGGCAGTGGTGGAATCCCGGATTTTCCAGGGTTGAGAAGGTTGCATGTAGGTGATAGTGCGTTGTGGGAGGTCGATGTTGAAACCGAGGAGATGAAAATCCTCCACCGGTTCTAGTTCCACAGGGTCGCCAAAGAAATTGTGGTGGATAAGGGTTTGGATAGCCGGGTGTTGAAGGAAATGTTCGTTGTGGACAATGAAACGGTTGTCAACATAGCGATAGTAAGTAAAGTGGAGGTCTGTGTGTTGAAGGAGGTTGTTGTGTATCTGATGCCAGGAGTGCTCAATGAGGGTGATGGCAACGTTGCATAGGGCTGGAGAGAGCTGGGATCCAATCCCGGCCCCTCGGATTTGTTTGTAAGTGTTGTTGCAAGCCCGGAAAATGCATGTGTTGAGGGCGAAAGCCACAATGGTGGTGATGTCGGAAGTCTGGATGGTGCGTTGGGTAGGGTGTTTGCGATGGTGTCTGCCAATGTGGGAGTGGTGGAAAGGATTGCCGGTGGCCTGGACATCCACCGTTAAGGTGTGTGTGGATTGCTGTTGTTGCCAGTGGAGGACAAGGGAGTGGACTGCATCGATGAGTCGGTGCTGGGGGACGGAGTTGAAAAAGCCGACCAGGTCATCGTTGGTGGCGTGTAGTGAGATGTCAGGTGGGGTTTGGGTGAGGTAACTGTGAAAGTGGTGCCAAAGCTGAGGAATGGACATTTGGCCTGGATGCTGAGGGTAGAGGTGTTGGAGGATAATGTCCAGGGCTCGGCTGGTGATGCGTAGCAAGTTGCCGCTTAGTGATTGGAAGTAGGATATAATTGTACGGCCTTTTTGCCAGTGCTTCTTCTCCTTGAGGTGGACAACACCGTAGGGGATGTTGAAGTCTTTTCGGAAGCCCCACTTGTAGCGGGTGCGCAGGATGGGGGGGACAGTGGCGGCCAGGTGGTCATGGATGTTGGCGGCAGTGATGTAGGGAAGTGGTTCAAAAAGTTCGGGGGATTGCCAGGTGTTCAAGGCGCCAGTGAAGTATTGGCGAGGGCAAAACAGCCGAAGTTGTTGGAGCTCATGATCGGCATGGTGGAGTAATGTGTGTTTACCCAAATGT